ACATGTACCCTTTCAGCAACAGAAGTGAACGTAGTTTCTTGAACTTGAAGAAGCTCTCAACTGAAGTTGCCATCGAATGAGTACACGAGAATGATAGATGACGAATCTTCTTCTCCAGGCCGACGTTTCTGAGGCCACACTCCAGCCGGTGGCATTCTTCCACGGACAGAGACTGCGCCAGGTCATGGATGGCATCATGCATCACGTAGTACCCCTTGTGAGACTGGAAGAAGGATCTGCTGACAAGCTCATCGAAGTAGCTGCTGCCGATGTCCTCCATCCGTTTGCCTCCCATCGGCTGGATGAAGCCCAGCGCCATCCATGTCTTCACCAGTCTATCCTTGTCGAAGACGAAGTCCTTGTGAAACACAGAGCAGAACACGAAACACTGCTTCAGATGAGAAGGCAATTGCTTGTAGCTCAACCTTAGAGCTGGTAAGATGTTGTTCTTGTCCGCCGGCAACTCCCAGATCTCACTCCTCAAGATGCTCTTCCACTCTTCTTCCTCAAGCTTGGAGAACAGCAAGCTCCCAATTGCCATAGCTGCGAGAGGCAATCCCTTCAAGTTCTTCACTATCATCTTACCTATCTTCTCAAGATTCGGGTGTGTGCTCGAATTCCCACCCACAAACGCGTAGTTCCTGAACAATTCCCAGCAGTCATCATCTGAGAGTTGTTTCAGCCGGTACGAAGGCCAGCCGCCCATGATCCGTCCCACGTTCTCGTTCCGGGTCGTCACCAAGATTTTACTTCCTCGTTCCCCACCGATGATGGCATTTCGATATCTATACCACTTGATAGGATCCTCGTTCCACACATCGTCTAGAACGAGCAGGAAGCGCTTCCCCTGCAACTGTTCAAAGAGGTCCTCTTGGATCAAGGTCATGTTTGTGGTGGTGGCGTAGAATTCCCTGGTTGCGGACTCCAGTGTCTCTTTCGTCAGCTTGGTCTCGTCGAAGTTCTCGGAGACGCACACCCACATACGCAATTGGAAGTGCTGCTTGATCCTGTGATCGTTATAGACAGATTTAGCGAGAGTGGTCTTTCCAAGCCCTCCCATGCCAATGATGGGGAGGACGGTGACAGTGTGGCTTGAATTATTGGCAGAGAGCAACATGCTTATGAGAGCCTCTCTGTCTTCTTCCCTGCCTAACACCTTTAGATCATCCTCCAGTGAGCTCGTCTGCGGCCGCTCTGTGATCTGAAGTTGACTTATCCCACCTGATACTTGAAGGCCCAGATTGTGCCGCTCCGTTGCGATCCTATCAAATCTTTCTTGGACTGCTTTTGTTCTGTGTGCTAAGTTGTAGTGATACGAGCTCCTGTGCCAACAAGAATCGGAGAAGCAACCACTGACCTGCATCTTCCAGCTGCATCTCCGAGCTCTACTCTCCATCTCCCACCTGATCTTTGCCGCTGCGCACTCGTCCAGCAACTCATCCATGTCGTAGGCCACATCCTTGAGCTTGGCCAGCCAGTGCCTCACTGACTTGTCCTGCAATTGCTTCTCCTCTGCATCTTCAAGCAGGGCTTGGATCGTCGACAGAGTGGTCGCCAGGTTTTGTAGCTCGCCACGGACACCTCGAAGCAATCTGAACTCGTCGACGGCAGCGGTGATCACCTTCTCAAAGAGCACCTGCATGAAGGCTGACAGAACAGCTTGTCCTGCCATGGCGTTGAGCTCCCTATTTCTCTGGTGAAAGGGCCAAAGAGAAGGGAAGATGGAGAACGCAATTGAAGTCTTCTCGGCGCTGTCGTTGCTGACTTGACTTGTAATGACTTTCTGCATATTATTTGTTTCTTCGGACTAAATTATTCATCATAAAATAACTGTTTCTGATTATCATAAAATATTGTTTACCTCAAATTAATTAGGCTTTCTGCAGTTCCATATCTACCATCGACTTTAGCTCTATTGCTTTCCACACACATGATCATCATGATCATGATCATCATCAGTTTGTTGCCGCTTCATAAATGTTCATAAATGCCCTCGTGTACACAGCTCGTTCACAGTACAACCAACAAATATCGGCCGACATAATCATTTTTTTTGTTGCGCTGTTCCCGTTATAATTCTGTATGACGCATTATAACGTTTCGGCCCCTAAGGCAGAATCAAGAATCAAGAAACAAGAAACGGAAGAGGGAAGCTCGCGTTCTTGTCCTGTCGGTTAATCGTGTTTCTTCTCGGTTCGGTCTCGTCCCCATTCTCGTCTGGTCCTATCTCTTCTCCGGCGTCGAAAGCCTTCGTTGCCGCGAGCTCTTTCCCACTGTCCTACTTGGGCTCCAAGGCCGTTCGCTCAAGCTCGGATTGTCGTATCAGGTTTCCTTCTTCTTTTGTGTTTTCTTTCCCTTCAATCTTTTATCTGATGGTGGTTTCGTTTCTTGCGCCCTAGCGGTGCCTCTTCATGTTGCGTGTTCTTCGAACTGGGACATTGGACATCTAACTCGGATTTTGGAGTTTTTTTTCCTTCTCCCGGATCATGAGGGTTGCTTGTGTTGATTGAGTGCTTTTTAGCCAACTTAAGACATACACGGACACTTTCTTGAATTTAATCTGTCATCGTGGGCCTCTATTGCAAGTTTTGTTAGCGGTGCGTGGAGGGTGGATGAATCCCCAGCAACCATCCAGTAGTTACACAGGGAATGTGGTGATTGCCCCGAGAGAGATGGGCGCTAATTGCCCTGGTGAGATCCGGACAGGAAGGATTGATGCCATCTTTCTACGCTCTCCTTTTCTTGACTTTCTTGAATTAACTCAATATGTTACTTTGGTGTAGTAGATCTTATTCCCTTTTTTAATTGATCCAACATGATAGTTCTTAGTTATGTCTTGTATCTTCTCAAAATTAAATAGAACTGTTGGCTGGCATATTGGGGCTATGTTCTCAAAGCTTGTCTGGTTTCCTCTTCGTTTGTTATTGTAGGACATCTTTCAAGAGTTCTAACTACGGAAGTTTGTTGCCTCCATCTTTGCTTTCTCATAAGCACCAGAGATGATTTTTGGCCTATATCTGCTTTATTACTTCGGGTCTCTGAGAGAGAAATAAGCTCAAATAAACATTCAGAGTGAGTTTTTCATATAAACTTATGATTCTTGGGAAAATTACTTGAGAATTTATGCAGTTGAACCATTTTGTGCATGCAAATCTGCAACCCAAGCAATTAGCTTCCTCTTGAACATTCTTAACTTACCTGAATTAATTTAACTACACAAATTGTATCTGTTTATTGCTTCAGTATATAATTCTTTTGACTATGTTGCCCTCCCATTGATCTTTTTGGCATGCAGATCTTTGTATTATTCTCTGTAATCTTGTCTTTGTTGCTGGAGATTCTAGCTTTGGTGTACCTTAAACGTATGCAGTATTAGTGAATTATGTTTATCATAGCATTATTCATTTGAAGAACAGTAATTTTTAGCTTCCAAGAATTATAACTTCTTTTGGCATTCTTTTATTTGGTATATCTATTTTATCCCTTGTCTTTGCCTCTTCTAAACGTTCTTTTTTCCAAGATAATGTGCTATATTTTCTGAACTTGATAGGTTCGGTTACTTTTAGTCATTTTTCTTCCATTCGTTTGAACAGCTACGCTCAGTAGGTTCAAAGAAATAGAAATCAGAATTAGTCTAAGACACTATCATTTGAGGAAGAATAGAGGCATGGCAAGGGAATTAAACACAGGGAGTGGAAGGAACAAATTCATCGAAGGTAATGACTGAGATGATGAGAAAGAGCGAGCTACTGAATTGTGTAGTTGGAGCTAGGAGTTTGGAGAAAAGGCCAAGTGGATAAGTTAGAGAGCCATTGGAGTACAAGAGCAGCATGAGTTTAGGGTTTAGGTTGGTTATATTTTTGCCTAGATTGAGTCATATTACTGAAAAAATGAACCAGTTTGATCCCCATATTGCATCGGTTTATTAAAAAACTAGAATGAATGACTAACCTGATCGGTTTTTAATAAACTGCATGAATAGCCCGAATCAAATAAAACTGATCTTGATTTGTAATATATCAAAAGTTATTTATATACCCGCTACTTAAAGCTTTCTTATCATATGTTCTAGAGGGTATTTATACCCATCTTACATTAGGATTAACTGTCATGTCTCAGATTTATAAAATAATAAACCATCATTTTATTACTTATAATTTACAGAAGATTTTTTTTAATCTTTGAATTCAAATTTTTTATCTTTACAAAACTTAATATTTTTTTAACTAAAAAAATCACATCTTCTTAATTGGGTCAGAAGTGATAAAAAAGTCTCCTCCACCCAAGCCTTAGATCTATTATAAAGTAGCAGGTTACTCTGAAAATAAATATAGGATAAAAACACATCAACAACCACACATACGGGTAGAAACCTTCGAAAAATCATAAAAATAATCTTCGATACTTATGAAACATATACAAATATTAATAATTTAAGATGGAATGATAACATATCAATTCATTATGAATCTCATGTATCAAAAAAATAATGATAATTCTTATGTAGTAAATAAAATTATGCGTACATCATATCCAATGGTACACTCTCTCAACAATGGATGGAGAGATCGACATACTTTATGAGATAGATTCCTTCCAATAATGGATGAAGATAATTCATATCGCACTTCCAACAACGGATGGAATAGTATCCCTCATCCGCCTAAATGAGGACATATTCCTCTCAATAGCGGATCGAGAAATCATCAGACTGTCACGTTTGACGGCCCGGTAATTCCCAAAGGGAATCGCCCTACCTGTCTTCGGTTAGGGTACAATAAAACTTTTAAGTTCAAACTTAATTTAAAAATAATAAAAAACCATAAATCATTTCTAAATTATACGTTAGATAAAAACTTTTAAGTTTATCAAATCATAAGTACATTAGACATTAATCTCTCAATAGTTCTCAATTAACCAAAACCATAATTGAAGTAGTCCAATTGATTTAAACTAAACTCAATTCAATTAGGACCTAAAGGAATCAACCTCAAATCCTTATAAAACAGTTTGGAATTATCCTATATTGATTTAATTTGGATTTGATTGGTTTCAATTAAGTCAAGTTGGTTTGGAATCACCATGAATCGGCTTGAATCGATCAAATTTGTCTGAATTAATTAATTAATGAACTCAAACCAATAAAGGGAAAGAAAATTAGACTATGTCATATAGTGCTAGCCTAAATCGACCCGACCCACCTAAGCCTTGCGCAGGTCACGTGTGCTATATATGCCTATCCCACATAGCAGGTTGGGTTGAGGTATAATGGGTTGGATAGAGGAGCGACGGTGTATTTAACTCTAATCACATAATTGGGCGGGTCTAGCTTCGCGGGCTAGGCTAAGCCTTACTCACGAGTTGGGTTAAGTCTTACCACTAAATTGGGTCACACTTGGCTCGCGAGTTGGGTCGTGCATAGCCACATTAGCTAGGCTATGCTTGGCCACATGGGCTGGGTCATATCTGGTTACATGGACTGGGTCATGTCTAACCACATGGGCTAGACCATACCTAACTACATGGGTTGGGTTATGTTTGACCACATAGGCTGAGGTGTACCAGATGGGCTGAGTCATGCTTAACCATATGAATTAGACTATACCTAGCCATATGGACTGTGGTTATGATCGATAACATATGCTAGGTCATACCTGACCACATAGACTGAGATGTACTTGGTCACATGGGTTAGTTTAGCCTATCAACTTAATTTAGGTTAGACCCCAATTTGATCTCTCTTATTAAATTATATTTTAATACTTTTAGAAGTACTTTAAAATATTTTAAAATAATAATTAACATCAAATCTATTTTTTTCATAAATTAACTAATTTTGATTCATGATTCTAAACTTAAAACTAATTTAATCATTGAAATTTGTACAGAATTTCTAGAAACATAAATATGTCTAATTAAATGAATTAGAATTAATATATAAATTAATTAATCATTTTAACATCATAATTCAATGATCATTATTTATTAATCATAAAATTTGAAAATCAAAACATTATTATTCATCATACAAATTATATCAATTCTAAAATCAAAGATCTCAAAATATAAATAAAAGCTGGTAAGAAAAGAATAGAAAATTTTATCTCTCTTCAGGAATCCTCTTCTTAATCTTTTTACTGTCAGGCTCGGGAAGGAATGAGAGAATGGAAGCCCTTTTTATATAGGAGAAGATGTGCTTGAAAGATAAATAATAATTTAATTTTTATTTTTAATTTATTTTTATTTTGTTTTTACACATAAAGATAGAATTATAATATTTTTATGGTCAACACACAAAAATAAAATTTAAACTATTTATTTTCTAAAAATCACATCACTTGTTAAGAAATAAATCAATTAATAATTTGATTAATTGATAAAATTCTTAATTTATCCACATGATTAAGAAAATTAATTTTAATTATTTCTTTAATCATACTATACAAACAAGGAAGTTAATAATTTAAATAAAGTAACACATTATTTATGGCAATTTGATTTATGTTAAGGGAGGAAAATCATCATTGTTTACATTCTTTCACACTTAACAAAAATTTGGTTCCCAAATTTAATATGAAAAATAATATTAATTCAACATAGTTCGCACTTGAAATACTAAGTCAAAAGATAAATCTAAATCAACTTGAAAATATTTAGATGTAAATGTGCCACTTGAAAACTTTAAGTTAAAAGATATGTTTTTTTTTGTACATTTTTCTTTTATTTTTAGCACATGTCAAAGCATCCTAACACATGTCAAATCTAATATTAATTTCAAGGATAATATTTGATATAAAAAATCATAAGGGTAAATACTTTTCAATTTATATATTTATGAAAGACCCTACAAAATTTTTGTACTTCAAATTTGTCATAACTCTTACATCTAAGAAAACAATTGATACTATTATCTCCGGTTAGTAAGACTAGACATGTTAACCACAAACATTTATAATAACATAAGGTAAAAGTGAGAAAGAAAATTAATCATCGGCCCAAAGAAACCACACAATAAGTAGTAAATATATTCTTATAATTTCTTATTAAATTTATCTTATTCATAACTATTGACAAAATTAATATTCCAAAGCAGAGGATAACAATATTCAGAAAGTAATATGTCAAATTGTAATAGAAATTATTTCAAGCTTCATTTATATATAATCTACCTAAAATTTATAACGAAATTATACGAAGAAATTCTAGATCTCCAGCATGGACAAACTATGGTAAAAAAAATCGCTACAAGACTCATGAAATAAACTTATTTTTTTAGTAAAATAAAATTCTAAACATTTCATTGTGAACATAAGTATCATATAATATTTCTAATCAGATTACCAAATTATTTTTAAAAAAATATTAAATATAAATCTAATAAGTGCATCTTTATGAATAATGAAGTCAATTGACAAATACATCTCAAAAATGAAACAATATATTCTATAATCAAATTAATAACTCTTATTCACTTTTCAAAAAGTGGATAAGATTGTCATGATAAAATTATATCCAAAACATAAAATTTTACAAGAGTTTCTACGATAAAACATTACAACACTTATTGCAATTTAAAGAAAATACACTAAAATTTTAGCCTTTAATAATCTCAGTTCAAGTCTATTTAATGAGACTTTCCTTGAGTAATATCTTTAATTAATTAATTAATTAATTTTATCTAAAAATAAATCATATTTGGCTAAGTAAAATGATCTTAATCTCTTCACTCAAAAATCTAAATATCAAAAACTAATTAAGTCATCTAATATTCTAATCCTAGGATCTCTCATATTCCAACAAATCCTCAAAACTATTATTTTGATATTGTTAAATTATCACATCCGAAATTTATAAAAAATATAAATCATCATTTTATTTTTTATAATTTATATAATACTCTTTTTTAATCTTTGGATTCAAATTCCTATATTTACAATACTAAATATTTTTTAATTAAAAAAATCACATACCACAAGTGACGAAAAAGTCTTCTATACTCAAGCCTTAGATCTATTACAAAGTAGTATGTTACTCTAAAAACAAATATAAGATAAAAACACATTAGTAACCACGCATGCTGATAGGAACCTCTGAAAAATCATAAAATTAATCTTTAATACCCGTGAAATATATACAAATATCAATAATTTAATATAAAATGATAACGTATTAATTTATTATGAAACTCATGTATTAAAAAAATAATGATAATTCTTATGTAATAAACAAAATCGTGCATCAGTCATATATAATACATCTTGATGATATATATAATAGTTAGATAACAAATACGTACATCACACTCGATGATACACTCTCTAATAGCGGGTGAAGAGATATGCATACTTTACGGGATAGATTCCTCCAAACAGTGGATGAAGACAACCTATATCGCACTCCCAATAGCGGATAGAGTGGTATCCCTCACTCGCCCATGCAGGGACACATTCCTCCAACAGCAGATGGAGGAATCATTTAACAATCACATCTCACTGCTCGCTAATCTCTGAAAGGAATCATCGTACTTGCTCGTGGTAGGGATGTATAGTCAATCATGATATTCATTTGCATTTATTCATTCATTCATTCATGCATCAAAGAGATAGTATGATAAGATATTATGAGGGACCATGATTGATGTATGACCTACTAGACTATGTCCATTGGTGGCTCTGTATTGTGATGGACTCAAAGCTCTTTTCACAAGTTGTACTTCTAATGTGGACTATTCAGCATGGTCACATATACTGCATAGTAATAATCACATCAATATCATCAACTTAATCTAAGAAACAATAGAAAATCATTAATCATTTTCCTAATAATACTTTCAAATAAAATTTTTAAGTTCATCAAATCATAAAGACATAAGGCATCAATCTCTCAATAATCCTCAATCAACCAGAATCCTAATTGGAATAACGCAATTGAATTAAACCTAACTCAATTCAATTAAGACCTAATGAACCCAACCTCAAATCCTTATAAAACCGATCTGGAATAACCCTAGATTGGTCTAATTTAAACTTGATTAGTTTCAATAGGTCAAGAGGGCTTGAATCGGTCAAGATGGTCTGGAATCGCCCTGAACCGATCGAACCTGTTTGAGTCAGTCAACTAATGAGCTCAAACCAATAATGGGAGAGGAAATTATACTATTTCGTATAGTGCTAGCCCAAACCGAACCGATCCACCTGAGCCTTGGGTGGGTCACATGCATCGTATATACTTGTCCTTGGTAGTAGATTGGGCCGAGGTATAACGGGCTGGATAGAGGGGTGATGATGTGTCTAGCGCTAGTCGTATAGCTGGGCGAGCCTAGCTTTACGGGTTGGACTGATCCTCACTCACAAGTTGGGTTGAGCCTAACCATTGAAGTAGGCCACGCTTGGCTCGTGGGTTGGGTTGTGTTTAACCACATGGGTTGCATCGTACCTGGCTATATGGGCTGGACCGTACCTGGCCACATGAGCTGGGTCATGGCTAACGACATGGGTTAAACTATACTTGGCTATATGAGCTGGGTTATGCCTGACTATATATGCTAGGCTATACCTAACCATATGGGCTGATTTGTACCTAGGCACATGGGCTGGTTTGACCAATCAACTTAAATTAGATTTCAATATTTTCATATATACTTTAAAATATTACAAAATAACAATTAACCTCAAACATATTCTTTTTCATGAATTAATTAATTTAAATTGACTATTATAAATTTAAAACTAATTAAATCATAGAAATTTATACGTAATTCTTTGAAACATAGATATGTCTAATTAAATGAATTAGAATTATTATTAAATTAACTAGTCCTTCTGACATATAACAATTTTAATATCAAAGATTTCAAAATATGAATAAAAACTATTAAGAAAAGAATAGAGGATCCTTTCCTTCCTCGGGAATCCTCTCATCGAGGAATCCTCTCTTTAGTCATCCCTCTAATATTTGAGTAATGACAATTATGTTGGATAAACGATTTGTTTTGTTTTGTTGAATAATTTATTTTAGATAAATATTTATGTTTATAATGTTAGTTGATGTTATTCATTTTATCTAAATTGAACTTCCATTATATTTAAGACCATTTGATTTTTTTTGTTTATTTTGATATTTATAGATTTTTTTAAAATCTTTTCTAGTACTACATATAATTTTGAATTAATGTGGTCCGACCAACTGACTCACCAATTTGACCAATGGCATAAGTGACTCAAGGTTCAATCGGTTTGTTTTCTGATATTAAGTCTATAGTTGAGTTGTAATATCTATTTTATAGGAAATTTTTGATATAGTTTTTGATTGTTATTTTCGTTCAAATTATTACGTATATTTAAAATAACTTAACTGTGTGTTTGTTAGGTAACGAAAAGCTCATTTTTGAAACTTTACTTTACATTTTAGTTTATGTTTTAGAATCTTAACTGATTGCTTAGGTTAATTTATGTACATAAGTGGTTCACTGGGTGGAGAGGCATATGCTTGATTTCTGATCATGAAAAATTGTTTCCTCTGAATGATTGTCAAGTTTCTCAGTGTTGTGCCATGGCTTTTGTTGGAAACTTTTTGGCTGTACTAGGTGCTATGTCAAATATATGGGCAAACTGTCCAGGTAAAAAACATGAATACAACATGGAAGATATTATTGCTACCTATGGTTCTCGTGAGTCACACCAAGAACTGGTAGGCCTACGACATTGTCTAATGATTTGCATGTAATTGGAAGTTGTCACTTACTTTTCATTCCCAAACATCATGATGATCATCTGTATTACATATGGGAAACAAAAAATCTAGAAGCCTACCCCATATGTGATTGATTATTGGGAAGACTTTTATGTTCCCTCTGCATTAATTAGATAAAATATACATTGAGATTATAAAGGCAACAGAGTTCCTTACTAGCTCTGAAATGGTAACCAACTGCACTTTCATTTATTGCATGCTGTTTTTCTTATTTATTTGGTTGATAGTGTTGATTTCTCTTGTAAACTACTAAAAATGGTAAGAAAGATATATAGCTGGCTTGACTTGGACATCGGTCCTTTGCATCTTAAGTTTCTGGGGTGCAAATCACCGTAGGTGCTTGATTAAAATACTTACAAAATCATTGTAAATATTCAAGAATCTTTCTTAAATTAGTTTTTTTGACAAGCTGTATGCTGTATAACTCTGATTTGGCGGCCTAACCATATGCTGTATAACTCTATAAATTGGCTGCCTTATGGGGTTATTTCATATCTGTTGTATAGTATTAGAAACCAAATTTCATTAAGCAACAAGAACCCAGACTCTCTCAAAACACATATTTTGGTCACCCTGGGAGGGGTTAGACCACTTGGTCCGTATCTCTGATTCGACTATTGTGCTAAAGGAAATGCATGACTTGATGGATCAGTGACATCATAAAATGATTCACATACTACTACTCAAGAGTCATGCACAATCATTGAGCAATAAAATGCAACTGCATGATCATTTACAGACCTTTATTGCATCCTTCTGCTACTTAATCTGCTGGCACTATAAAAGAATACTGAACAGAATTCTTCTTTTGCATCAAGTTGGGGTGCTATTATATCTTTTCGAGTCCTACTCTGAGGAATTTGGATCAGCCTTCTTCAGAGGTCATTCCAACTGTTTTATTTCTCTTCTTTTTTTTTTTAAACTCTAAAGCTGCTTGTTCACCAAAAAGGGTAGTAAATGCATCAGTTACATCATGTAAATGCTGGCAATTTCTCGGTGGATATTGATTGTTAGGAAGTTAACATAGGATAACTATTATCTGACAAGAAATCCACCATCAGATGTTGTTGCCCAAACCTTATTTCTTTTATTTTTAGTGGATCCATTTCCAACTCCTTGTTTGCACCTGAGCTACATCTGCCCCGTATCTCTTTTTATTTTGACTAAAGAAATATCTTTTGCCAGTAGGTTTTTGCTAATGATTTTGATTGCCTGACAATGTGATTATCAGGATTTATTTGACTCAAATTTTGTTGACAAAAAATTTCCATTCTCCATTTTAAATGATTTCATGAGAAGATATTTTTGTTTATACTTATGCTGTTGTTTTTGGATGATTATGTTATCTTGACTGGGGAGCTTAACTTTTCTGCAGATCCGTGGACTAAACTTGCTTCTAGGCCATATGATCTGCCTTTCTACCATTTTATCTTTATATTTTTAGTTTAGTTGAGGTTCTGTATGTTCGACAAACTATTGACAAATGATTCATTTATTTAGCCGATCGTCAGGTGACTCTTAATATTAAATTTTCCTTATTATATAGAAAATCAACTTGATATTGATAAGTGTTTGCCACGATAATCCTTGTGCATCCATCCACAAAGGCTCAATTGTTTTATAACCTCTAAGGTCCCATGAGGACATATAAAAGAGAAGGGTTAGAAAAAATATTTAACTTGGGGTTTTATATATAGATATTTTAGCAAGCACTTGATAGACAATGCAAATTACAAACATAGATTTCGTAAATTCCGAGTGATTGTACAATAAAAAATCCAAGATGGTTCATCATGATCAAAAGTCTCCAAAAATATCCACATGATACAATTGGCGAACCAACTATAGTTAATACCCCAAAAGTTTATCCAACCATGTGTCATTCGGGTAACTCTAAGTTGTACAAGTTGATACTTTGCACCACTCTATAGAGTTAGAAAACATCCAAAATGACTGTTTGGATAGTATGTTTTTGAACAATTTTACCCTTGCACGATGACCATACAATCTATGTATAAAGGACTGAAACAGTCACAAAACCAAATCAAAATAGGATTGTCCAACCTGGTACAAGCTCTCTACATACTGTATAAAGTATAAACAAAATCGAAAGATACAAACATGTAGAAATATTACATTGAACACCTTGTGTACAGACTTGTCCATGACATCCTCGTCTACTTATTCCTTTGACGTCCTTGTCAAAGTTTTTGTGGATATTACCTCTCCTTACCTTCATTGAATATTCAATCCTGCTTTAGCTACAACACATCTCTTAACTCCCAACTACTCTTTGTAATTGTTGTTTAGTTGTCAAACTTTGATCCGTCAACTCTGTTTCGACTCATCAATGACTCCGACTCTAGTGTGGGGTTAGTTGAGTTCTAATCTCTACTAGTTTTGGTCACCTTTAGGATTGTACCATATTCTCCATCATTATTATTACCAACTCTTTTTAGTAGAAAGGATACAATATCGCGTACTTCCAACTTCGTTCGTTAGTAGAGCACTCCCACGTTAGCTTGAAGTCTCTCACTATGGCTTATTTTGATGATAAGCCCTTCAACATCAGTCTTACGAAGTTTTTTAACCTCTGCTCTTCTGTCTTGTATTGATATTTGAAGTTTATTTTTATATTTTTCACCTCCTTGGTCTCTTTCACGACCATATGCTCTTCCTCCATGAGAGCAAAGAATCGATATCCTCACTAAAGTCTCGCCTTTGCGATATTATGATGCTTCCATGCTTATGGTCATATTATTTGTTACCTAGCATCTGTGTCCCTATTCACGATCGATAAATTCGCCTTTGTGGCACTATGATATTCCTACGAGTCTACCTCAATTTTAATCGGTACTTAATTTTAGGTAGCTATCCCTTTTGACCACTTGCTTCAATACTTTTATATTCTTTAAGTAGTTTCCGTTGGTCGATAAAAAAATAGATTGTAACTCTCATCCATGAAATTTTTTTTTACGAGATGTTGAGTTAAATGCTTATAACTCGTCACCAATATATAAAGGTACTGTACGAATTAAGCAAAAGGCTATGCATGAGACTATGCCTTTTAAACTCACGATCGAAAATTTGAAAACACATATAATTCAATCTCAAATATAAGGTTAACTTCTAGAAATAAGTCTTTTATCACTGATGTCACATACACGAGAGGTTTCCATAACATTTCCCAAGGCTCTTGCCGATTTCAGGATGATCTAAGATGTTTACATGACTTAGTCACTATGTCATAATACTTTTATTTGATTAAATTTCCCCCAAATCGTCCCCATTTTTGGCTGACCGAGGCGAAGCAGGGCCAGAGAGCTGCGAACCAAAACTCTGCTCTTCGAGTTGTGTTTTCTGTAACCATAGAAATGAAGAGCTTGTGATGATACAATATATATATATTCTCTGTAAGTCATTTTTTTTCCTATACACCAATCAACAACAAACGACCAGCTCACATGAAAACAATGCTCCATTCATTTACAAGGGTACAAGTAATTCGTGCAGTACCGAGGAGAGTAAGTGCCTCGAGAAGCAAAGCACCAACTACACCGTGCTAATATCAACTTTGCTCTTATGAATCTGGAAGGCAGGGGTGATCCAACTACCACAACTGCATTGGATGCCGGACCAGTTGAAGTATCCGAGGCGTGCCTCACAATGCACGCATGATAGCTTTCCTTCCAGTGCACCTTCTTCCACTGAAACACCATCAAAACCGAGTGTATAATTCCAAACAAGGGTTCAACAAATAAAGGACTATGATTTTGAAATACACGCACGACTGTAAAACTCTGAAATGAATTTACCTGATGTCATCCACTTCAAGGGTTCAACAAACAAGGATGAACACTGTTGCTCCTGAAATCTATTATTAGCCCGGTTACTGGCTTTTCGCTTTTGCCACTCGAAGCACGTCTCCCCCTCACCGGCCACATGGCTGACAACATTCTCTTTCAATGCAACAATCCTCCGGCATTTCTTGCAGCGGTAGGCTGTGCTACGTTGATTTCCCTCGAGGGCCTCCTCAGAAGGGTTGAACTCTGACGGCGGCAAACCAGGATCAGCACCAAATACGAAACTGTCTATTTTCTCCCCTTGTTTGTAAGAATGACCTAATAACAATGGCCATATTATTATCAATATAAGTTGAGAGAAATACTTAAATGCCAAACTTCTAGTTCAATCAGACAATTCAGTCCGCAAGGCAAAAGATATTAACATAGGATAAACTACCAACATTCATCACAAGAAAAATCAGCCCATATCATAAATCCAAAATCACAATTATGCTAAACCACTTGAAATACCATGAAAATAAAACCCCTATTGTGATGCCTTGAACTTGGTCTGGATAATAAGGAATATGGCAGACACCTAGTTTTAGATGATACTCTCTGTTACCTAAATGATCATTTTGTTGTGAAATATGAACCCTAAGTGCATACCTGCACAAAATGGAAAATGCACATAAGGATTGAGGCCCAAGCTTAGCCAACCATGGTTCGTATTACCAGTCCATACTGTTATACCGACTAACTATTGGTACGATATGTACTGAGCTATATCAAACCGTACCAAGTGTACTGACACATGATATACTGGAATGTACCAATGTACCACCCATACTGATCCTTTGTCGAACCAATATGTACCACCCATACTGAGTGGTAGATTCGGTACATCAAACTTTGGCCCCAAACAGATCCCTAAAATCAAGCAAATATGCACTGTTAGACCATTTCCACCTGTCCCATCATGAGTGTGCAGTATTTGATTTGGTCTCCAAACAGGTCGCTAGTTGATGTAATCTTATGCTCTTCCTAGTAATCTGGCTGACTGATTTGATGTGCCTTGTCAGCAAAGAAAAAAAAAAGTCCAAAGAGGATAATTTCAAGTACACTACAGTATGTCTTTATCTGGCAACCTTTCTATTGGACCATCAAGTAAGAGGCAACAAGGGTGATCTGCACAGTATCATGTGTATCCTGATGATGCTTTCAGGTCCAGTTAACAACCCAATTATCGGAGAATGATCAGCCACCAAACGTGCCTCGATCAGGGCTCTTGAACAGGTTTGTGATAAAAAAATCTTTGCCCACCCAATCAGCACTCCTGAACAGTCTCATATGCATTCAGCTGATGCTTTCTAGTCCAACTAACTACTTAACCATAGCAGAATGATCAGACACTGTCCCAATCGGGACGTGTGAACAAATTTACGAAAAAATATTGTCACATGATCAAGCACTTATGACTGAAGAGTCAACTATGATTTCTTTCATTAATAATACTCCCAAGACCAACCAAAAGAGAAGCAATTTTCACATAACAGATTGAGTCATTTAACACAAGAGAAGCAATTTTCACATTTTTCACAAACAGATTGAGTCATTTAACCTTCAGTATTCTGCATTTAACTTCCTTATTTCACATATTTTAATGGGGTCTAAAGCTAAAACTACTATATATTCAATTCCTACTTCCCATACTTTCTTGCATTAGTCTTCTGAGTCCATCCTGAAGCGCCACACCTGTAAACATTCGTCTCCATTACATGCTCATTAGAAACCGTCGTTATAACTCTTTGCCTCTGTTTTACTTGATTCAAATATAGAAAATTAGAGACTTCACAAAATGCTGCCATTCTTTTCTTAAGTCAGACTTCTATGGTTAACCTATTCTTTGTTGGTAAATTCATTTTCCCCTTTCAACACTATCTAGCACATAAATAAAACTTTCAACCCATATTCTCTGCTCATGAACCTTCCACTCCCTCACAACTTTAAACATCTACTATTATTAATTGGTATATTTCCGCAAATGATTTATGTATCAAAACCTGTCACACATGTCCATAAATATCAGGCATGAGCATAAGGACATTACCAGTTACTCTAGCATTACGTTCATCCCACATATCTAAGAACCCCAAAACTGTAACCGCCAAAGTTTCCTATGGAATCTCTACTTAGTATTTGTTGCGTTCTTTTAAGAAGTGATCTTTACAGCTAAATACACCACCATCAAATCTGAGAACATCTCATGGAACCCTTGAACATGGTAGGTGTCAAGACAACCCAAGCATCCCCAGGAACTTGCATATACAATTTGCATGTCTCCCTTGCATATTCTTCTTAGTAAGCTAAAATAAGTAAACATTTGACTATTATTTTGAAATCAGAGAGTTACTCATTATATAGGAAACACTAGTTATCACTAGAATAGGTTCTCGAAAGCAGGTAAAATATTTCAACAGTTCAAATAGGCTCAGCCCTGTACTTACCAATTTTTAGCTTCTCTAACTTCATAACTAGAGTTTCATACCCAACTGTATGTTCTCAATAGGAGAAATACATTTTCATTATATTAATGCATAAGCTACAGACAAACCCACATATGCACTAAGCTGTCAAGTTGTCCAATGTGAAATTATAAGGTTGCACAAATTCAAAGGTGAAAAGATATAAATGTTTTATGTTCCATAGAAGCTGTTAAATTATTTGATTGTTGGAACACGCATTATATAGAAATGTACTGGAAACAAATGTGTGCATGGATTTCTTCATCAAAACATGTAATACATACCATAACATTAACTTTTTTTTTTGAACTTCAACTTATGTAGCAACTACAAAAGAATTTATAAGCCCAATCAATTCTTGGAACATGCATCATATTGAAATGTACTTAAAACAAATATGTGACATATACGTGCATGGATTTGTTCAACAAACATATAACACATGCCATAACTTCAACTTGTTTAGCAACTACAAAAGAATTGATAAGCATGATCAAATCCATGATAGAGCCAAAAAGGACAAAAGTAAGAAGCAACACAAAAGCAAAAGGCATCTATTGCTCTAACATTAATCCAAAGAGAGATGAAAAACCCACCCAATATTTTCAAACGGAAGCGCTTGTAAATGGGGCTCTCAGTATCTACTTTGAAACCCATTTCTTCAAATAAACTTAACTGCAAGATTTTTGATATTGATTATGTCAAAGGTTCTTTGTAACACTACCATAATCACAGTAGTATCCAAAATTAATCAAACCTGATCCAGAAAACCATCATTTGGACAAACCAGGTCACAAACTTCATGCAAGGATTCAAGTGCATCTGGAAACAGCATGTAACTACATTAGCAAAGAGAAACTAGAATAAAAGCTCTAAGAGTTCACCTTTGTTATAATATATGGGCACAGCAGCTGCAGCTTATCTACATACCAACAAAAGTCTACATCCAGAAGACAACAAAATTAACAAAAAAAGTCATACAAACCTTCCATGGATTTCTGTTCTGTTCTCATAAGATATGCAGTTATCACAGCAGCACTGCAACAAACACACAATCAAATACAAATGTAACTAGCGGGGGTCAAACTAGATAAGCAAAAAAGTATTTAAGCAAAATCTCGTGATTCAGCAAATAATCTGACATGTTGCCCCATCACGTTAAACTCACTAGCCAAAAAATTCAGAATGCTGGTCCTGACAAACAAGTAACTATCTTCCATAGGTTAAGTAAGCAAGTTATTCGATACGGTTTCTTCATGCACCTCAATCTGAACAGATAGTTTACATTAACAAGTAATTAGGAAAAAGACTCTTTGGGTGGGTATGCTTCATAAAGTGTTACAAGAAAAGTCAATATTGGAACGAAAAATAATAATCTTGAATCCTTAATTTAACAAGTTGTTATGCAAGTTATATCAACTAGCAGATAACAATTTCCACAAAGGTAATGTTGAAAACCAGAGGTCACAAATGAGGTTCAATGATATGAAACTGCAGGCAAAAAATACTAATCTGCTCCTCTTATAGGCAAGTTATAATTATTACATTAGTTAAATTTTCCTGATGTTCTGGTAAATTCATACAAGAGAACCATCATTAAAAGCTAAGACATATCTAGAAAGTGAATAATAGAAACAACTAAACAAAATTTGAGATTGAGATAAGATCAATTATATCAAACAACTCAAGACAAAATTCATATATTCACATTATAGACTGTCTTAGGCTCATTGGAAAAATTACAGGCAGAGATATTTTTTTTTTGGCACCATATCACCAGAGACCTTTTTTCTTGATAAAACTGCAATTCTTTTATCAATCAAATCATCACATACTTGTTTCTTAAAAAATCTTTAAAAATTTAACAAAACCTCTCGCATGCCATGTGGATGCGATGCCGGCAGATTTTGAATCATAGCTGACAATTGGCCCACATGAGCGTGTTGAATAGCCTGCCAACTATGGCAATTATTGAAAACCAAAACATTCCAAACATTCACTATCCAACAGCGAATTGCATTTCTTCACTGCTAATGCTTCCATTGTCAACAGCAGGTGAATTACTACCGGTGTCAGCTTCTTTTGCCTCCTTGCTACCTTTTCTTGCACCCTCTTGCCCCTGCCATTACTAAGTTTCATTAGTGTGCTTTTGTCGCAGGGTTCTCTATCTCCATTAGCCAGTGTTGCGGTGCCCTCCGTCAGCACCGATAATTTTGATTCACCAAGCCAAAAATTCAACCCCTCCACTTCCCCAACAAAACTTGTGGCATCCAAAGGTTCTTAGATATCTTTTGCAAGTCACAAAAAATTCAGAACCTTTTTCTTTTTTGTGGGATTTCATCAAACATTCTTTGACAAAACCAGTCCAACTACTACAGCCTTAAGTATACTTTGGTTTGCCAACAGGAACAAAAATCTTTACAACTTGATTAGTCACAACGGAGTCATTCAATAAACCAAACTGTTAAACATAGAAAAATCTTGAACACGAATCTTGCAGAAAAGAAAAGCAGATCCAAGCATATCACGTCCAAGATTCCCTTTCTAGACTAGGCAAAGAAGCAAAGGTTGCCAACGAATTTAATAAGCGAACCCAGAAGAAATCCAGATACCTTCTCGACACGCCGGCGAAGCAATGCACCAACACGGACCCCTCCTTCCTGCCCTGATCGATGAAATCCAAGCACGCATCGAGGTAATCCAACAGGTCCTCGTCCTCCGTGTCCTTTAGCGGAACCGCCATCCTCACCAGCTTCAACTCCGGCCCAGCGTGCTCGAGCGAGTACAGGAGCTTCTCCGGCGCCAGCGACTTCCTCGGGGAGCCCTCGGCGCCGACGAACACCTTCTTGATTTCCTCGGCCGGGATGCACATATCGGCTCTCCATCCGGAGAAGAAGGATATGGACGCGGAGCTGAGCAGCGAAAGGACGTGTGTGATTTCCGCGCTCCCCTTCTTGAGCACCTCGGCGGCGGCCTTGATGTCGCCGAAGAAGAGGCGATCCCGGACCAGGTACGGCATCGCTCCCTCGATCTCCCAAACCCTATCGTCTCTCTTTCTCGGCCCCAAAGAGACCAACCCCTGGCTTTCTTCCTCGCTCAAAACCCTCGTCTCTCGATCGACAGGCAGCTTCACTTCCGCCAAGAAAATGGTTTGTTACCTCATGGATTCCACTCACTATATATATATATATATATATATATATAATTAAGAATTTTGAATTAATTTGAATAATATACGATATTTTTGGGTAAGAGAAAAGGGAAAAAGTTTGGATCGGACGGCATAGAAATCTGATTCGACTTTTGATTGATGCAATTATTTCAAATCGGATAATTCTGTCAATAGAATGAATTTATTTATTTTATTATATATCTAAATATGTCGAATTTTACTAGAATTAGAATTAACTCGTAAAATAATTAAAGTCGCTGTCTCATACTTTATACGTTTACTGAGTGAAGAGATAGTGATCATTACAATTCAATTTTTGTTATCATTATATTCTCTTTATAGCCACAACATTGGATGTGAAAGCGAAGTGGTGGGAGATTCAATGGCATATTCCTCTATCGGGCCACAAGTGCACAACTACGCAATCAATCACCATTACTGTCACAGAAGCAAACAGATGAAAAGATCTCTTGAAGTCTCTATCAATATGCTTCTTTGATTCAAAGTACAACCTCTTCTCCTCCTACTTAATGCTTATTTTTCCCCCTGTCAGTGAGCAGAAAACACGTCTGCCAATGAAGAATAGTGCTGCAGCATCAGATAGCAGGAAGAATGCTTTCATGTAGTGAATTATGCACACTAAATTGTCTGTTCTGCTCAGTGGCTTCCTCTCAATCTATTCTCAAAGAAGGAGAAGAAGAAAAAGTGATGATGAGTTCTCTCTATGGGATTCATCTGTCACTCTTCGGATTGGTGGAGGACTGATTCCTATCCGTTAGTTCTTAAAGTAACCCAAGTCAGTGTGGGCTTAACATTGGGTTATTGGGCTCCCAATTCCGGCCCAATTCAAACAACACTTAATTACGATCATGCCCTCTCTCTATATATACACACACTCGGTCCTTTTTGGGCAGGTCACCCAACGGCTACTTTGGGAGAGGAGCGTCGTCAGCCGTAGGATCTCATGGATCGGACCGTTGCGAGTTGTCAGTTCGAAAAGAATCCGACCGTTGGCAAAATTCCTCCTCGCACCCCTTTTAAACCCCACAGTGAGGCCCGGAAGAGGACGAGCGAAGAGGGGAGGATAGCGGAGAGCGGGGGCTGAGTCCGGACGGTGGCGGCGAATCTGAGAGCGGAAGGAGAAGGGGAGTCGAAGAGGACTCGCCTCCAATCGTTCCTCTCGTCTGTGTTCTCGAGCCTCTTTCGTCAGAATCAAGAGGAGGAGGAAGTAATCGACCAGGAGGGAGAAGACATGGCGTCCAGGCATCAGACCGTCGTCCCGCAGCAGCAGAGAGGTAGCGACTTCGAAGGCAACCCTTTTCTTTCATTGATCTCTATCCATTTAGGAAGGAACTCATTTTTATCAAGAATGAATCTTTCTGCTGATTTTTGTTTGGTATCATGTCAGAGTTACGCCCCGGTTCTTTGTTTTTCTCCCTTTTGAATGATCTCTTGAACTGTTCTATCTTTTCTGTCAAGATTCTGTTTTTCTTGATCTGAAGAGTTTCTTCTTCTTGATCACGTGTGTGTTGTGGGGAATCCAAAGCTATTAGCTTGAAATCACATCCAATTTTGATGCGATTACCAGGTGGGCATGTGCCAGGGGGCAAGCAGAAAGCCGGCGCAGCAGCAGATGGGAAGAATCGCCGAGCCCTTGGAGACATTGGTAATCTGGTTCACGCCCAGGTTGTCGAAGGGTAATAATAGCAGCAGATGTGCCTCTTCTCTTTCCCTTTCTTCTTTTCGTTCCTAAAGATTCACATAACACTCGTACATTTGCCATGTTGTCAGGAAGCCGGAATCCCAGATCAATCGTCCCATCACCAGGTAGATTCGATCAACATGCTCTGTGAATGCAGCAATTCTGTACTTCCTTCCCCATCGTTGCACGAATCTCTTATATTTGTAATCTTCGTACAGGAGTTTTGGTGCTCAACTTATTGCCAATGCACAAGCTGTCGCTGCCGCTGCTGCTGCTAATAAGGTACAAAGGCTTCGCCCCATTGTTCACCGACTTGTCTCTGCAAATGAGAAGAATCTATTATTGATGACATGCCATTTCAATTGCAGAAACCTGTCGCCGTTAAAGCTAATGCAGCAGTCGCTAGAGCTGGTACAAAACCAGCTAAGAAGGTCGCAGTTAAGGGCAAGGAGAAGAAGACAGAGGAGGTGAAGGTTATAGTGATAAGCCCCGACAAGAACCAGGAGGTACCCAAGCAAGCAGCTGACACAAGTAGATCCCGCACCAAATCTACCAGGAAGAAAGTCACTACGCTTACTTCTGTTCTCACTGCTCGAAGCAAGGTAAAGGACCAATTCAAACATCTCCATTGTTATGATCTGCATGTGCACTTCAACTTAGATTGTTGTCTTTGGTCTTAGGTTGCTTGTGGACTCACTGACAAGCCGAAGGAGTTGGTTGATGACATCGATGCGGCCGATACCGAGGACGAGTTGGCCGTCGTGGATTACATTGAGGACATCTACAAGTTCTACAAATCTGCTGAGGTACTCCAAAATGGCCGCTTTAGTTCCTCCATCTTTATCAGACACTCCATATTTATCTGTACTAAGATTACTTCTGTACTCTGTTGATGCAGCACCATTGCAGGCCTCACGACTACATGGATTCCCAGGTGGAGATCAACGCCAAGATGAGAGCCATTCTCGCTGACTGGTTAATCGAAGTGCACCATAAGTTCGAGCTGTCGCCTGAGACTCTCTACCTGACATTCCACATCATCGACCGGTATCTTTCGATGGAGACGGTTCTGAGGAGAGAACTGCAGCTTGTGGGGGTGTCTGCCATGCTCATCGCAAGCAAGTACGAGGAGATATGGGCACCAGAGGTGTGTGTGGTAGTGCACAATCGAACAAGTTCCATATCAGAGATGGCATGGCTTTCATGAACTGAGCTGGGAATGTGGTGGTTGCAGGTGAATGACTTCATTTGCATATCGGACAGGGCTTATACGAGGGAGCAGATCCTTGGAATGGAGAAAGCAATCCTGAACAAGCTTGAATGGAACTTGACAGTGCCGACGCCCTATGTGTTCCTCGTGAGATTTCTGAAGGCTGCAGCATGCGACCAGGAGGTGAGAGAGCAGTCGTTTGTTCTCTTGCCAACATGTTGATGTTGATGTAGTTTATGACACAGTTTAGCGTGGTTAAAATGCAGATGGAACGCATGGTTTTCTTCTTCGCGGAGTTGGCTATGATGCACTACTCCATGATAATGTTCTGTCCCTCCATGGTTGCTGCTGCTGCTGTTCATGCAGCCCGGTGCACTCTGCGGAAGAGCCCTCTCTGGACTGCCACACTCAAGCACCACACAGGGTTTTCGGAGCAACAACTGCTGTGCGTGAACTTTAATCTTCTCCTTTGTGCCTTGCGTTCCGTTGAATCACACATGCTAATGAACATGATTTGATTCAGGGATTGCACACAGATGCTGGTGAACTCCCATGCGGCTGCTCCTGAGGGCAAGCTGAAGGTGGTGTACAAGAAGTATTCGAGTGAGCAATTTGGAGCTGTAGCACTGCAACCATCCGCAGCCAAATTGGTGGAGGAGCTGAAGGCTGCATCACTTTAAGTAGTAGAAGCTTGCATTTATTTCATGTTCTTTATGAAAGAGTGGTAACCAAAGGAACAAGGTGATGAATGATGGTAGGACAATTTTTTTGGGTCCTAATTTGGGAAAAGCAGATGCTGCAAAATATCTTTTTAATTTGAAAAAGATATTGCTGTGAAAATAATCAGGAATTGTGTTTCTAATGTGTTCGAGGATTCAATTCAGAGTAAATTGTTGTTGAAGAACACAATTTGTCTGCTTTTTGTTGTTAGCCGACAAGTTTCATCAGCTCTAAATATAACGGTGTTTGGATTTGGGTCCAAATCCAAGCATGGCCCATTTAAGGCCTGACTGACTCACACCCTTGGCCCACAAATGGCTTTGGTCGCGGGGATCTCAGAAGGCCAAGGTCACCCGAGGAGTTCGTCGGGTCTGAGCCGCCCACGCCAGCCAACCACCGTTGACGGACAAAAGTCTGAAAGCGGCCGAACGCGCGTCGCGTCGCGTCGCGTCACTCCCACGAAATCCAAGTCGGCGGAAACAAGAAGACGCAGCCAACCACAGGTGGCAAAGCGGCAGCTCGTCCGCCCACTCCTCCTCCATCCCCACACCGCGGGCGACAGACCACCACCACCACCACCACCACCACCACCCCCCACCCACAACGCCTCGCCTCATCATGGCGCATGATTCGCTCCCCCATCCCGTCTTCTTCTTTTCCCACCCGCCCTTTTCGCCCCCGCAAGCACGGTCGACAATGATTGCTCTCGACCGCGCATGCGCGCGCGTCGCCCTTCCCGGCCTCTACCAACCACGAACGCGTCCTCTCAACCCTAGTCCCAAAGGCCGCGCTTTTGGTGGGGAGGAACCGCGACAGTGGGCAAGGGCGCGAGGCCGTGCCCTCCTCTTTGGGCGCACACGAGCAGGCCGCAGCTCCCTCTCACCTCGCAAATGATTGCGGCCTCTGACACCGGTCCGGCACGCGCGCGCGGCCCCTCTGCAAGTGGCCAAACCCCGGTGGTCCCTTTTGTGCAACGCCACACACGCGACCGAGATCGTCTCTCTCTCTCTCT